CCTGGTCCAAAACACGTGGGCCTGGCCTCTTACCACGTGGCTGCTTGGCCCCATCCGCGTGATCTAGAATCTTCCCCAAACCGCGTGAGCCCTTCCCTTCCAACCACGTGCAGCCCCTACCCTGGTACTTGCTGACTGAACAGACCTACAGGGACCTACGGCCTTCTAGAACCTACAAACCTAAGTACTAACCCTTAGGCCCTAGTAGACTTAGGTAGAGACTTCTAGATAGGCCCTAGCTGGACCCAGTGGTAACACACTAACCTACTGACTAACAAACAGTTCTACTAACTAACCTACAGGTTTAGGGACAGGTCATGGGTTCAAATCTCACTCAGCACACAGGGTCAATGTACAGGGTTTAGGCACAGGTTTAGGGATCGAATCTTAGGGTCTGCAATTGTCGGGTCAACTGGGTGGAACCGTTTCAGAGTGCAGACCATACTGTGAGGATTGAGCCCTCAAGTAGGGGCCTTGCCATGATGTACATGTTCTGGGCTAAGGCCCCAGCAAGCCTCGTGCCCGCCCTAAGTGAAGGCGGGCCAGCAAATCAACAAGAGCCCTCTGTGCCAACGTTTCATGAAGTGGGGTCTATACAGTTGCAGCACGCCAGTTGGTTGGAGTGCACCGAGTCTCGGATTTCAGCAAATGCTGAAATGCCCAGGGCCTCTGAGTTAGTTAGGCCCTGGGCACTCAAATGTGAGGCCGACAATGCATGCTGGGTATAGAGGCCGAAAATGCCAAAGGGAAATCGGCCCACCGTCTGAATCTGGCCGCAGGCCTTGATGAAGGAGGTGCAACTGCATTGCCCCGGGGCCCAACTGTATTCGGGCTGAGTTCAGCCTCTGGGTCCCGGCCACAGGCTGAAGGGAGGCCGCCCACACGCTGCACTGGCATATAGGCAAGCAGGGCGAGTGGGTAGGGATCTTGGCCAATGCGGGCAATCCCGGCACGCTGCGCTAATGCGAGCTGCTGCTGCTGCTGCAATGCGCTAAGAAAAGTGCAAGGGAGGCCAGCGCTAGGCGGTAGGACGCTGCCTGTGCACTGGGCGCTTGGCGGCCATAGCCGGGCTGTAGAAGAGGGCGCAGGGGAGGTGAGGGCGAAGGTGGTACTTCAGAGGTGAAGGGCGCTGTGTGGGTAACAAGGGAGAGTGTGGGGAAGAGGACACGTACCTGGAGGAGGTGGAGGTCGGCATTGGTGTTGACATCATCACTCGCTGGTAGTCAAGTTGTCTAGTTGCTTTTCATTGCTGTAGTTGTAGGATAGGCTGTAGAGTAGATAGGGCGCCTGGCGCCATTMACAAGAGAGAGCTACATTTGGGTTATGCTGTTGGTGTTTCCCTGTTGGGCATGGACATTGACTCACGATTCTTCTGTATCATTCTCAATTGGATGGTTACTCGGTTCCATGTGCTTACTTTGGCTTTGACTACTTGGACTTCAGTGTGATTTTGCATTCTGGATTTCAGTGCTTCGTCCATATTCATGTTCCTTGCAATTTGGTATCGGAGCTGGTTTGATCGCCACTTACCTTTGGCACACTGGCGTTATACAGACTTGGTGCGTTGACGATGCTTCTTCGCAGTGGGTACTTGTGACGTCAGGCTACTATAGGTGCACGCCCTGGGTAGAGAGGGGTGCACCGGAAGGCTATTACGGCAGTGTATGTCGTGGGATATAGCGGAATGTTTGATTGATGATGAGAGCATGCTGATGTGACATTGGACTAAGGTGGCACTGCATTGCGTTGTGGGTAGTACCGAGGTCATGACCGGTCATCAAATGCAACATCAGCTCAATTGGTGAGAAAATCTATGGTTGGGGGCAGCTATCTACAGGTATGTTGATCCCTTACCTTATCTACCTTCTCAATCTCTTCTTACCGTGAGGAAGTGAGTCCAACTTTAGAGTCCTCTCCTTGGTGAGGTGTCGTGAGCGCGCTACCTTGAGAGACGACAATCTTCCCGGAAGCATCTGGAAGGAGAAAGGGCGGTGCCTCTGAAGGGCCCTGGTCGAAGCACTTGGGTCACGGTCACCATGCCAACCCACAGGGAGTAGTGCACGCATGCGATGGCTGCTGTCATGTTTGGCACTTGCTGCGCTAATAGAAGTTCCTCCGGGTGTGCCAGCCCATGACAGACGGTTACCAGACCGTCTATAAACATTTCTGGTTGGGAGTTCATTGTGAATCTGGCTGTGATCGTCGTCCTGACTGCGACATTAAATGATTCCTGCAGAAATGGGGGCGCTATATAAATTCCTCCTGATCAGCCAGATCACATGGACAGGAAGGCTCGTCGCCGTACGAGGGTAAATAAGAGTGGTTGGGCTGGCTTGCTCTGTGACAACTTGGGCACAGGGGTGGGCCGATTCACACACGAAGACACTGCTCGCTCAAAGATGCTGTTCGGTACGTTGGATTGAGGGGAGGGTAGGTTCCAATTGGTGCTCAACTGTATACAACCATACCCATCAATCATATATCTGCTACGTTGTCTTTTTGTACCTTTGATTAGTTGGTTGACGGACTGCTAACCTCACAGACAGATTAGTGTAGGACTGTTGTATGCTACCATGGCCAGTTCTAACTATGGTTGCTGTAAGTGAACCAATCAGGGTGCATCTAGACTATGTAGACAATCTGTGTGAATGTTGTAGACATGCCACTTGATTCGGTATAGTAGGGAACTCACCGGACACAACTATTTATAGAAAATTACGTGCCGGTCAGATACATACTGCGGTAGGATTCCATTAGGGGATTCTAGTGTAGACACTATCTGCCTAACTAATGAGTGGGTCAGATCCTGTTGATGATAGAGCTGACGGTAGGAGACTAACACGTGCACAGGCATTAAGGGTACCGCACGTGTTCCAGGCCTTGGAGCCGGGGGAAGAAAGCCGGCTACGTAGAGCCCGTGCTCTAGCAGTAGGACTACAGGAAGCAAACACAGTAGCAAGAGAACGGGCAACAGCAGCCAGAGCAGCAGCAATGGCTAACGGCGCAAGCTCTGCTGCGTCATTGTCTGCGTCCTCGTCAGGGACTTATAGGGGCCAGTTGGGAATGCCAATGAGTTCCACAAGTTCCTCGGGCACTTCCGGTTCCACAGGTTCTAGACAGTCTTCTAGTCAAATGGCGGGCTCGCAGTTCAGCCCGTTGACCCCACGTGAGAGGGAGCTCAGGGAGATCCAACAGGTCGAGAGGCTCCGCCAGAAGTTAGAAGAGGACCTGAAAAAGGCAACCGATAGAGAGAGGGAGATAAAAAGTAGAGCGGCCAGACTTGATACGTTAGAGGCTGACAAGGCTGCGTTAGAGGGACTGGACGAAACGGGTTCGTCTGACCCCCTGAAAGTGTTGAAGAACATGTTGTCACTGCGTGCGCACGTAGAGAGCAGGTTGGACTTCATGCAGAGCACTTTGGACCAGATCCTGGATGCATTGACAAAGCCAGGATTCCGGCCACCAGCACAATCGCCGTTGCCGTTAACGGCGATGTCAGGCCCCTTTCCCGTACAAGTTGGCACATAGCCAAGTGGTACGTCTGCAGCAGTCTCACAGACTGTTGCGTCTTCTTCTTCGGGCCCAGCGGTGATTGCTGCATCACCGCAACAACCTGTTCCTTCACAGGGACAACAGCAAGGTCAATGGTATCCTAAGACCCCGATGAAACCGCCTCTTGCCTTCTCAGGTGAGAGAAAGGATGAGGAACTCAACACATGGTTGAGAACGATCCCGGTTTGGGTGAAGGCAAAGAGGACCTTGCCTGAGGACGAAGTGGTAACTGCTGCATCCTACCTTGAGGGAAAGGCAGCCAAGTGGCTAGATGGAGTAGTTGTAAAGGCCGGGTACGAGAGACACATGGCAGACTGGGCTAAGTCATTGACGTTAGACCAGTTCATGGAAATGGTAGAAGCTCGATGGCATAATCCACAGGAGGCACAAAGAGCCACTGATGCCATTAACAAGCTGGACCAACNTCCACAGGAGGCACAAAGAGCCACTGATGCCATTAACAAGCTGGACCAACGAAAGTTCAAGTCGGTCAGAGAGCTTACGACTACCGTTGAGAGCCCGATCCTCATCCCACGCATCGACTACAGTGACCAGTTCCTGCTAACTACGTTTGTTAGATGTTTACCAGAGAACATCAGGAACTTACTGGCCAGCGAGGCACGCTCTGAGTACCATTCGTTTGAGACACTGTCTAGGAAGGCCTTAGATTTGGAGGCCACTCTAGGCAATGCTCAACCCACCTCATAGAGTGACTCAAAGAAGAAGAAGAGTCCTCAGGAGTGGAAAAAGAAGGGAGCAAAGTTGACGATGGTTGAGTCTGATGGGACTCAAACTGAGATTGACGAACTCTCTGACCTGATGGACTATTCAGAGCAAGACGGCGAGGAGGTAGCTGAGGGTAGCACCCTTGCTGCAGTAGTAAAGACTAAGGCAGGTGGCCGAGGGAAGGGCCAACCTAGGAGTCAAGGAAAGGCCAAACAGGCTGACTGGGTTAAGGCAGGTCTTGATCAAGACGTGTGGCGTGACCGCCGAATTCATGGCGCTTGTATCAACTGCGGGGAATACGGACACACGCAGTACAAGTGCCAGAATGCTAAGGTTACGCAAAAGGTTGCTCCAAAGGTAGGGGCAACTTATTCCCAGGCTTCAAGCTCGGGAAACACGTGAGGCTAGTGGAAGTATTAGCTGCTTCTACTCAAGATGAAGTAGGAATGATACCCTCCCTACTTCATGACAAGGCCCAGGCTAATGACCCCTTAGTCACCCCGCAGACACAACTAGACCAAACCATGCTCTGTACGTTAGATGTGTCTGAAGCCTTAGAGGACTTGGAGAGTGAGTGGTCAAACAAAGACCCTCGCGAGTCTTGGGTGGCTGAGAAAAGGTCCTAGAGGGGAACATTTCGTGGTGGAAGTCGATGTAGGAGGCCGCAAATGTGGTGCCTTCATAGACATAGGCTCCACGCGGAATTACATAAGTCGCGGATGTTTGGAAAGGCTGCACCTACACGACCGGGTACGGCACCTTAGTAGACCAGTAGCATCTACTTTGGCCAACAAGGAGCGCATGATAGTAACAGACTACATCAAGGACGTAGTCTGTACCTTCTCCTATGGAGGAGGTGAGCTTAACCAAAAGATCTCGTTCTTGGTTAGCGACGACTTGCCATTTGATATCCTGTTAGGCATGTACTACCTCGAAGTTGCTAAGCCCCAGTTCGACTGGGATAAGAAGGTGCTCAAACACAAGTTGCCCGAAGGCCGAACTGTCAGATTGACTAAGTTCAAGGCCAGTAGCATTATAGATACCTATGGCTGCTTGTGCGCATCCGCGTTCTACAACTATTACAAGCAAAACGACGAGGAGGGTATGTACCTTGTTTATGTCTCTGAGAAGGGGGGGGGCGTTAAAATACCCCTAGAGATAGAACGGGTCGTTGCTAAGTTCCCTGATCTGTTCGAGGAGCCCACAGGAGTTGTTGAAAGGGAAGTCGTCCACGCTATAGAAATCATTCCAGGGAGTAAGACCCCAACGGGAAGGATCTATAGGATGGCCCCCGCCGAGTTAGATGAACTTCGACGACAACTTAAGGAGCTGATAGAGAAGGGTTGGATTCGGCCTAGTACTTCCCCTTACGGATCACCCGTTCTATTCGTACGAAAGAAGGGGGGTACTTTGAGGATGTGCATTGACTATAGAGGCCTTAATGCCATCACTATGAAGAACGCAGAGCCTCTACCTCGCATAAACGACCTATTGGATAGGGTGCAGGGATGCAAGTACTATACCAAGATAGACTTGAAATCCGGATATCATCAGATCGCAATAAGACCTGAGGACCAACACAAGACAACTTTCCAAACGCGTTATGGTCTGTATGAGTTTGTAGTGATGCCCTTTGGTCTTTGCAATGCGCTGGGTACATTCGAGCACACTATGAAACGGATTTTCCACGACCATTTAGATAAGTTTGTCGTGGTCTACCTAGACGACATTCTGATCTTTAGTAAGTCTGCCGAGGAGCATGCACAACATGTTGAGACGGTACTTTCACTCCTTCGACAACACAAGTATAAGGTCAACTTAGAGAAGTGTGAATTCGGTCGCACTAAGATACTATACTTGGGTCATGAAGTATCCGGGGAGGGAATTAGGCCGGAAGATGCCAAGGTGGCTAGTATTCGAGACGGGCCACGACCTCAGACAGTCACTGAGGTCAGGTCATTCTTAGGAATGTGCGRCTACTATAGAAACTTCGTTAAGAACTATTCTACAGTCGCCTCTCCTTTGACTGATCTAACTCGACTTGACACACCGTGGGACTGGAGTGATGAGTGCGAGGGTGCTTTCAAGAGATTGAAGCATGCACTCATGAATCATGAAGTTCTCATGGTTCCTGATCCGCAGAAGCCATTCATAGTGACCAYTGAYGCAAGCCAATACGACATTGGCGCAGTGCTGGCTCAGCARGATGGGAAAAAGTTGAGACCGATTGAGTACATGAGTAAGAAGATGCCATCGAAGAAGTTGGCTAAGTCCACCTACGAAAGGGAACTCTATGCTCTCTACAAGGCACTTGTCCATTGGAGACAATTCCTTTTGGGAAGGTTCTTCTATCTGAGGATTGATCATCAGGCCCTCAAATGGATCAAGACTCAACCGGCTCTTTCTGATGCACTCAAGCGATGGATTGAGGTCATAGACCAATATGACTTCAAGCTTGAGTACCTGAAGGGAGAGTACAACAAGGTTGCAGACGCGCTATCCCGTAGAGCAGACTACCTAGGTGCTCTAGTTTATGAATTCGGCGTATCTAACGAAGTAACTCAATCATTGGTGGGAGCCTATCAGGAAGACCCTGTCACGATGGACATCATCCGCAAACTTCAGGCAAAAGACAAGGCCACAAAAAGTGAATTTGTGATGGTGGATGGGCTAATCTATCTTGATAAGGCCGGAATAAAGAGATTGGTAGTTCCATGTAGTGAACAGTTGCGTAGTTTATTTTTAGGCGAATGTCATGACGCAACTGGGCACTTTGGCTACAAGAAGACGAGTGCCAACTTAGTACAACGATTTTGGTGGCCCAAAATGCTAGATGACGCAAAGAAGTATGTTGAGACCTGTCAGGTCTGTCAGCGGGACAAGCCGCGAACTCAAGCACCACTTGTGTTGTTAAAGCCTTTACCTATTCCTGATGGTCCAAGATTGAGTGTTTCCATGGATTTCATGGACACCCTAGTGACCAGCAAGAGCGGTAAGAGGCACATTTTCATCATCATTGACCGATTCACCAAGTATGCTAGACTAGTACCAATGCCAGAGACAGCCAAAACCGAATATGTCATCAAGTTGTTCAAGGACAACTGGGTAAGGGACTTTGGTTTACCAAAGACCATCATTAGTGACCGAGACGTCCGATTCACAAGTGAGCTGTGGAAGAAGACTGCGGAACAGATGGGCAGTCAACTTCAGATGACTTCAGGAAATCATTCCGAAGCCAACGGACAGGCCGAACAAATGAATAGAGTTGTACAACACTTGCTGAGGCATTACATCAAGCCCAGCCAGGATGACTGGGATGAGCAGTTACCTCTCATCGCCAGCCTGTACAACAATGCTATA